GATGCCGACGGCTCAGGCGCCATTGACGCGGAGGAGATGGCGCTGGCGATGAAGGGGCTCGGGTTTGGCGACCTGCCGCGCGACGAGGTGGAGCGTATGATCCGCACGATGTCCACTGACTCAAAGGGGCTCATCGGGTACGGCGAGTTTGAGCGCGTGGTGAAGTCGCGCATGGCACAGAAGGACTCCCCGGAGGAGATACTGAAGGCATTTCAGCTGTTTGACCTCGACAAGAAGGGAAAGATTTCGTTTGCCAACCTGAAGGAGGTGGCCAAACTCCTGGGCGAGAACCCTGGCGACGATGTGCTGCAGGAGATGATCGCCGAGGCAGACGAGGACGGCGACGGCGAGGTCTCCTTTGAGGAGTTCAACAGTGTTATGATGCAGATGCGGGGAAAGTAAGGCGTTTGATGTATGCCTTTTTGTTTGTTTGTTGGGGGGGAGCCGGGGCGGCAAGCGTCAACGCCCCACGCCACAAAATAGAGAAACATTGAGGTTTGTTTCTTTTCGGGAAATGCCATTTGCTGTGCAGTTGCGTGTGTCCCGATTCTTTTTTTTTATGGCGTCTCTGGCGAGTGCCTTTGTTCTTGGCGTGACAGAAAGGTCCGTTTTTTTTTTTTGTCCTCACTACGTGTCTTTTTTCCTTTCTTCCATTTTTTATTTTTTATTTTTATTTTTTGTTTCTCTCTCTCCTGTGCTTTGACTTCTTTTTCTTGCACTTACCGTAGTGTAGTGCAAGGCGTGGCCGTGTGCACCAGTGGCGGCGGCGTTTGCAATACTGCGGGATGTCCACCGCCGCCCATGCACGGTCGACGACGTCGTCGGTGCTCGTGGGAAGGTCCACAATGTTAAACCCGCTCTCATTTCCGCCGAACGGGGCGGAGATTCTCCTCCATTCGCTTGAAATGCAGCGAAGGGCGGTGTTGGCGTTTGACCTGCGCGACGCCGAGGACGAGGAGAGGATTCAACAAAAGAAGGGGCGACAACAACTGCTTCGCGCCCAAATCGAGCGGCGACACGCAATGGAATTGCTGGACAACCAGGCCTCAGAGATCACACAGAAGCTCCTGGCGCAACTTGCCGTTATTATTCGTGAGCGTCATACAACATTGCGACCCGAGGGATACCAAACAATTGTCTTTGATAATGGTGACACATACGAGGGTAATTGGAAGGGTGGTCGCATGCACGGCACGGGATATCTGAAACGGGTGATGTCTAATGACCTCTACGAAGGCGAATGGTTTCTTGGTCTGCGCAATGGCACCGGTTCATGCCACAGTCCTGATTTTGGCACCTTCTACAGCGGTAAGTGGCAAGATGGTAAATGGCACGGTCGTGGAGAGCTGATAGAGCCGGAGGGAATTTACACGGGCGAGTTTTTGGATGGACTTCTGCAGGGTTTTGGTGAGTACGTGTACAATGACGGACACGTGTACAAGGGTGAATGGGTGAATGGTGTGTACAACGGCACAGGGGCCTACCTCCTTCCAAACGGTGGCAAGTACGAGGGACAGTGGGTGAATGGTTGTGAACACGGGCGTGGGACCATGACCTATTTCAATGGTGACACCTATACAGGAGAATGGCGGAACGGGCACAAACACGGCACTGGAACGTACACAAGTGCGTCTTTGCAGTATGAGGGTGAGTGGTGCTTTGGAGCTATTCAGGGTCACGGGCAGTGCAAGTACGCGGATGGCTCTACCTACGAGGGTGAGTGGCGCAAAGGCACGTATCATGGTAAAGGACAGTTCATTAGTCCTACAACTAGGCAAAGTTATGCTGGCGAGTTCCGCCACGGCAAGCGTTGCGGCCACGGCGTTTACCGCTCTGATGAGGTGGTCTACACAGGAGATTGGCTCAACGACAAGAAACACGGCAGTGGGGAACTCAAAGTCTGCGGTGGGGGCACACTTTGTGGGACATGGCGTGAGGATTTGCCTCACGGCGAGGGGGTCTACACCGTAGGTGCTGAAAGGGTGTACGTGCTTTACGAGTCCGGCTACTGTGTTCGCTCCTCCCCGCAAGGCCTCTACCAACGGATGAATTTGCGTCTGTTGCTCTCGGACGACGACTGAGTTGCGTAGCTGCGCCCCATTCCCCTCGAACAAGGTAGGATGTACAGAGGTTGTTCCCTCTTTTCTTTTCTTTTTTTCTTTTTCCATAGTGGTGTGCGAGGGATTGGGCAACCGCATTCGCGCCTGTGTGGGTGTGCGTGCGTGCGTGCGTGTGTCTACAGTTGCGTCTTCCCTTTTCTTGCATTTACTTCTTTGGATGTCATTAATCTTGAGGAACAGTCCTTTTTCTTTGGCTGCCTTAGTGCCTTCTTTTTCCCCCCCCTTTACCCCATGCACTTTCTCTCTTTCACCTCCTTATGTGTGTGTGTCTGTGTGTGTGTGTGCCGTGTGCATGGGTGCTCGCCTACGTGAGAGTTGATGACGGCGACGACGTCGGCGGCTGCGTTTTCGTCAAGCTTTGTCAGCAGCGTGGAGGAGTTCCGTGCCCTCTTCGCCCCGAATAGCGCCGATCGACTCCTGCTCTGCTATGAGCCGGAACATGACGGCGTGGCGGCGATGAATTTGACGGCTTTGGAGGAAGCTGTGCGCGCAGCCGCTGCGCGACACGCCACAAAAGTGCAGCTGCACTTCTGGGACTGCAGCAGCATCGCCTTCGTGGCGGCGAAGGACCAGCTGGGGAAAGAGCGGGGCACGCCGCTGTTAGCTGTGGTGTATCGGCAGGCCCTTGCGGACACGCTCAAGGAGCCGATGAGCGCAATGATACAAAACGTGGATCGCGTCTGCGAGCGCTTGGCAGCTTACCAGCGTGGTGGGAAGATCGCGGTGCGGACCTCTTCGTCGCCGACGACGGCGTCGCCCCACCCCGTCGCTGACGATTCATACATGTCCGTGGATGTCTCGAAGCTGGTGGGGATGGGCAAGCGGCTTCTGACGGACGGCAAGGCCGAGTACGCGGAGAAGTTTTTTCATCGTGCGCTTGGAACACTTGATGCGGTTAGGCCCCAATGTGAGGGCGACGTGAACATCGACGGAAGCACCGCCCTTTGCTTGGCGTGGGTAGCATTGGCGCAAATAGTCCAAGGAAAGAACGCCGATGCACACATGCGGCGCCTAGAGGCGGAATACGCGGCGTTTTGCGAGGAGGTTGGCAGTGATGCTGCGCGTGTGCGGGCCACTCATCGACTGGTGACCGCGGCACCGCTCACCTGGCGCAGTGACACCTGCAGCCAGAAAAAACTGCGGGAGGTCTTAGACCGGGACCCGCAGAGCCACGAGCACCGCTGCGCCCTTGTCGTGACTTTGTTCCTTGCCGGGGATCTCGAACGCTGCCTAACAGAGGCGGTCAAACTGACCACGCTGCATGTCCCGTTCGGCGCCGCCGCCATTTCCGCCATTGGTGAGTTTATTGGCCGCGACCACGCACTGATGCAGGCCATCGGCGTCGACCGTGAGCGCCCGTTAACAGGCGTGTAGCAGCAGTGCCGCGACACGTGCGCATTTTTTTTGTTCTAAATGATTTCGTCGTTGTTCCCTGCTTTCACATGCGTGTCGCTCTCTCTCTCTCTCTCTCTCTCGCTTTCTCCAATTGTGTGTGTGTGTGTGCTGTTTTGGATGCCTCTCGGTTGGCGGTATTCCCCTTCTCGTCCCCGTTGCGTGCGTCCGGCGAGGCAACGAAGCAGCAGCAATCAATTCTCTCTCCTTCACTCACCCTGTTTGTCCCACCCATTTGTAGTGACTCCTTCACAGGTCAATTCGTTCATTCGCGCACAGGCGAGCGAGAGGGAAACGGAGGGAGGGCGTGAGCGTTCAGCGCGTACGTCGTCCAACCAGCAAACAGACGGCACACGAGAAGCGAAGCGCGGCAGACGAAGCGTGCCACGTCGTTAGCGGCGCCCAACCACCCAATAGCCGAAGTAAATCAGGAAAGAAAGGACGCCGTACGCCAGCACACTAATTTTCCAGCCACCCACGTCGCGCAGAGGCAATGAATCACGACGATGCCATGTGGAACATCATGGGGCAGACCTTCTGTTCATTCAAAGTGAAAACACACGACGAGAAGACGCGCTTCTGCCGCAACCCGTACAATGTGACGGGTTTGTGTCAGCGTGGCGTTTGTCCACTCTCCAACGCGCAGTATGCAACCGTCATTGAGCACGAGGACGAGCTTTATTTGTATGTCAAGACCGCAGAGCGTGCCCACCTCCCACGTCGTCAGTGGGAGAAGGTGCGACTTGACGCTAGCTTCCCGCGTGCCCTGGCACAGATCGATGAGGAATTGCAGTGGTGGGATCAGAAGCTTGTGAACAAGGTCAAGGCACGTCTGCTTAGGCTTAAGCAGTACATTATGCGCCGTCGCAAGATGTTACTAGAGCCAAAGGTGGAGTATGTTTCGGTTAACAAGCGACAGGAGGATAAGCTGCTGCGCCGCGAGGAGAAGGCAGAGGCCGCGGCACGCCTAGAGCTGGAGGTTGAGAAGGAACTGCTGGAGCGACTACGGAAGGGGACGTACGATAGCGTGATGAACTGTAGCCGTGAGGCGTTTGAGCGTGTACTGGACCAGGAGGAGGATCGGGCAGAGTTCAACGCTTTAGAGGATGAAGAGGATGAGGAATTCCCGGAGTTTGTCATGGACGAGGAGGAGGAGGAGGAGGAGGAGGAAGCCAAGGCGAAAACTGGGGTACGCGGGAACGGGCGAAGGCCCGCACGACGACAGCGTCTGGTCATTGAGGAGGAGGTGGAGCAGGAGCAGCCGCACAAGCGGAGCCGCATGGAAGATCTGGACTGGTGAGCGTCGTGCGACGGCTGTCGTGAGCTGCGGTGCGGGTAGTGGATGCAGCCAACTGCACACGAACAGGCACCGTCGCATCTCTGCGCAGTGGAGGGGGTGCGTCTGCGTCTGCGTCTGCGTCTGCGTGTGTCTGGGCGAGGGTGGTAATAGCACGATAATATATTACTTTTAATTCAACCACGAAAAGAGGAGGAGGGGTAAGAGGACGAATGAGGGTGGGGTGGGGGAGTTGGAGGGAAAGGTTGATGCGGTCTTGGAGGAGAGGATATACCGCACAGTGCATGTGTCTTATGCACAGGCCGTTCTTTTCTTCTTCGTTTTTTTCCATAGTCATCGTCACCATCGCCATCACTTCCTCCCTTTGTCGAGTAAGTTGGTGCCATTGCATATTACTCCAGTGCAAGAGGCATAATACACGCACCTACTAGCATGTGCTTACCTGCACACACACACGCGCCTCATTACAGGCGTACGCACACTTGTCTATCCCACCTATGCAACAGCGGCTGCAGCCGCTGAGCTTGGTGAGTGCGGGTGACGTTATTGCTGCCAGTAGTAGAAGTGTGCGTGCGCTTACGGAAATTTATAGTGCCCTCGCTTCGTCACCTTACCTTCCTTTTTTTTTTGCTCCCTTTTTCGTCCTCGTCTTTCGCTGCCGACCGCTCTCGGCGCAGCACGCGGGTATCAGTGCTGTCCGCGGGGTTACCACACGGAACACGGAAGAAGTACGTTAGAGAAGGCAAAACCACCGTGGGGCTGCAAAGCGACAAACAACCACAGCCATCACACCAGAACCACTGGCAGCAACAAGTAAAAGAAGAACGAGTTAAAGAAAAAAAATATATAGAGCTCCATTTGAAACAGGACAAAAATGCAGGGATGGTTTGGCGGCACCACCGGCTTAGGGCAGACAAGTGGGCTGCGGCCAGGGTCAAGTTTGCGACCAGGCTCACAGATGCGCCCCGGTTCGCAGCTGCGCGGGGCGCAGGTGGCCGGCGTGGGTGGGAGCCTGCAGCAGCCGGTGGCGGTCTCAGCGAAGGCACCGGTGACACTAGAGGGAATGCGGGCCGCAACGCGGTCTGGTACTGCCGGGCCGGGGCGTCAGGTGGGTGACCGCAGCTACTACATTGGACTGCTGCGTCCAAAGATTACGGAGCTGACGACGGAGATTCAGCACCTGAACGAGCAGGAGAGCCTCATTGAAAAAAACAGTTCCGTGCTGGCCCAGCTGCATCAGCGCAACAAGAGCTTAGCGGACGAGATCGCAAAGTTGAAAGGGACTCTTGCCGATATTAACCTGGCTGTGGAGAAGAGTACCTCGCAGGATGCCAACAGTGTGAAGGATCAGGCCACAAAGCTTACACACCTGAATGTTGATCGGCGCAAGCAGGTGGACCAGCTGTTTCTCCATATGAAGGAGGTGGAGACACAGACGAAGAAGAACCTGCAGATCTTGGAGGAGGAGATACAGCAGCTGGATCGCCGCATTATTGCAGAAAACCAGGACTATAATCTTTACAACACCACCAGGAATGAGGCGTACGGAGTTTCAGACGCGGTGCTCAATCTTCAACACCAGGTGCGCACTTTGACAGCGAAGCAGGAGCTGCACATGGCACAAATTGCGACAGACACGGACAAGCGGCGGGCCGCGGAAGTGCTGCGGGAGATACTGCGCAAAAGGCAGCTGAGGGAGGAGCTTACAAAACAGTGTGCCCTCTCTGTCGAGGAGGAGCGGCAATTACTTATTAAGCAAGTTAAAACCGCCCGCGGCGATATTGAGGTGCTGGAGCGCCAGGTGAACGAAACACGCGATGCCTTGGGGGAGTCTAAGAGCCGCTGTAATTCCCTAGATGAGGAGTTAAAAAGCTACAGTGGCGAGAACCTAAAGGCTTTTCAAGAGTTGCAAGATAAGGACCGTGAGCTGCAGTCCTTCATGGATTCCCTTCCCGAAAGGCAGAAGGAGGAATTGGACAAGATTACCGCGCTGCAGGCAAACGTTTCCTTGCTGCTTGAACGGGTCTCGCAAGCGCTAGAGTTGCGGAAGCAGATACCGGCGGAAGGTGCCCCTCATGCGTTGCACGCGCTTGAGAGCGAGGTGGACGCGAGGCGCAACCAGATAGAGAGTGACCAGGTCACGCACCAGCGCCTTGAAAAGGAGTTGCTGGACCGCAAGGCGGAGCTTCAAAAGGTAGAAAATCTTGACATCAAAATCAATGCTGAGCTGCAGGCACACGCGCGGAAGATGGAAGAGCAGTCGCAGGAGATGGTCAGATACGCCGACCTGGATGGACTGCGTCGCAACGTTGAAAGACGCCGCGAAGACCTCGCGAAGGAGCGGACATTTTTGATGAAGCTTCGGGACTCCAGCAAGCAGCAGTTAAACACCCTTAGCGCGTCGAATGAGGCACTGCAGAAGCGCCTTAGTGAGGAGGCCACCTTTCGCTCCATATCTACGCTGGAAGGTCGTTTGCGGCACTTGCGGCAGTCTAATTTTTCGTTGGAGGAGTTTGTGCGTTTAAAGGGCAAGGAGAGTTATTACCTTGGCGCCAAGACGGACTGCCTGCGCCTCGTCGAGGAAATCAACCTGCTGCTGAAAGACACCGACCGCACCCGCGGTGTGGGGGCACCCCCCGTGTTGCTTTTGGGCGACCAGTGACAAAAAAAAAGAAAGAAATCAAAAACAATGAGAACGAGATGAGAAGAACAAAAAACAAAGTTGGGGTGGGAGAAGAAAAAAAAACATGAGAAGGAACTACGCAAAGAAGCTCTGAGGATGCTAGTTGGTAGTGGTGGTCGTATGTTATTGCTGTGCACACACACACACACACACAGACAAGGGCAGCAAGAACTTTTTTGGATGTAGAGCAAAGAACGAGTACGACGGCCCGATATGGGCAATGCGTCGTTTGCAACAGGATCGCCGCTGATGCAAGAAGAGGTTATATATATATATATATATATATGTTTACGCGTGTACTGTTCTAGGCGTGAGCTAGACAAAGGGAGGACAACAAAGGACTGTTTTTTTTTTTTGCGTGTGTGCGCTTCAAGGAAAATGGAGGAAACAATGAGGTTTGACACGTGTGTGCGTATGTTTCTTGTCGATTATGTGAAAACTGAGATGTTGTGGCGATTGCTTGTATGTGTTCTTTTTTCTCCTTCACGTCTCCATTTCTTTTTGTTTCCTTGTTTGTTTTTCTCTCTGGCATTCGTGCCTGGAGGAAGGTGATATTACCTCAACAACAGAGTTATTCCTGACCCCACAACTGATTACTTTATCATTAAATTTTTCCCGTGTGATGGCGTCTGCGGAGCGGTTTATGCGCGTGTACGCGGAGGTTCAGGCCTTTCTGCTGGAGCAGCTGAACTCCGACTATGAGATGGACCCCAACCGCGGCAGATACCTCCGCTGCCTGATGGACACGACGTGTCTTGGTGGCAAATACATCCGTGGCCTGACTGTGGTGAACGTGGCGGAGGGATTCATCGCCGCCGGTTCATATGATGAGGCGACAAAGGAGCGCGTCCTCCATGATGCCTGCATCTGCGGTTGGATGGTTGAGTTTCTCCAGGCTCACTACTTGGTGGAGGACGACATTGTGGATAACAGCTGTATGCGCCGTGGAAAACCGTGCTGGTATCGCCTCCCTGGTGTCACTTCCCAGAGTGCCATCAACGACGGTCTCATCTTGAAGTCATGGGCGCACATGATGGCGTTGCACTACTTTGCGGATCGCCCCTTTTTAAAGGATTTGTTTTGCCTCTTCCACAGGGTTGACTACTCGACGGCAATCGGACAGTTTTACGACGTGACCTCCATGTGTGACTCCAATAAACTGGACCCTGAGGTGGCACAGCCGAGGACCACCGACTTTGCTGAATTTACCTTGGCCAATTACAAACGCGTAGTGAAGTACAAGACGGCGTTTTACACGTATCTGCTTCCACTCGTTATGGGGCTTTTTGTGAGCGGGGGGACCCCCTCTGTTGATATGAGTTTGGTGGAGCGGGTTGCGATGGTGATGGGTGAGTTCTTCCAGGCGCAGGACGACTTCATGGACTGCTTCACCCCGCCAGAGCAGCTTGGGAAGGTTGGAACCGACATTGAGGACGCCAAGTGCTCCTGGCTGGCGGTGACCTTCCTCGGGAAAGCCAGTGCCGCACAGGTGGCCGAGTTCAAGGCCAACTACGGTGACACGGACCCGGCGAAGGTCGCCGTGGTGAAACGACTCTACAGCGAGACAGATTTGGGGGCGGATTTCGCCGTCTATGAGGCAGAAGTCGTGCGGGAGGTGGAGGAGCTTATTTCGCAGCTGAAGCGGACCTCTTCCACATTCGCGTCAAGTGTCGCCACGCTGTGGGAGAAAACCCACAAACGTAAGAAGTAACAGGCATAAAAAGCAGAGCTGATTGAAAGGGAATCGATGCGTATATAAGAAAAACTAACAAGTGATTTGTTCAATAAAATATTTGCTAGAAGGGAAAGCAAGAAGGGGAATTTGTGTCCGTGGCTGCTTGGGGGCGGGACATATAAAAGAAAAACGACCCATCCAGAACTGCCCTAATGAAATGTATGTCTCAATGCACACTTTCCGTTATGGCTTCCAATGAAACGTCCGTATTTTTTGCACGACATCGTGAAGTAGCAAAGAGAGAAGTAGGTGTGCAATCGTTTACGAGCGCGGATGCCAGAACTGGGGTGCTATTCAGGTTTGTTTGTTTTTGGACTTGTCTCGTGCGGGCTCGCCGGGTCGGAGCTTTCACGATGGTACCCACACCCTTCCTGTTAAGAGCATTCTTGCTATATTGTTCTTGCCCCTTCAGGATTTATGTGGATTTTTCCTTTTCTTTTTCTTTTTTTTCTTTTTTTACTCTTTCCGTGGGAAGGAGTAGGTAGCGGGCAGATGTCGCTGCTTTGCTGTGATCCACCGCAGGGGCAGTGGATAGATGTGTACGGCGACCCAGTACGGCCGCGGCGTACAGGTTTTGAATGTCCGTTAGACTTATTGCAGCTCTTCGCTTGGTTATTCATCGTGGTCGTAGCTGTGCTGCACTACACTCTGCACGTGCCGTTTTTAGAGCCTGCGTTGTTGATTGTCGTCGCCAGCGTCTCTAGCGTCTTATTCACGGTCGTAGTTGCGCTGAAGATCTCGCTCTCCCTCAGCCGGATCGAGGATCCCGTCATATTTCGCACAGACTTGCCTCGGCTAGAACAGACTGAACTGACGCAGGAGGCTGCCCCAACTGGCACGGTACCCTGCGTATTCTGCCGGCGTTTCGTGCGGGCTGATAGTAAACATTGTGGAGTATGTGACAAATGCGTGCCTGGTTTTGATCACCATTGTCGCTGGCTGAATGCCTGTGTAGGTGAGGGTAACTACAAGGCGTTTTGTGCTTTTATGGGGACTGCCTGGTGTGGTATGGCCTTCATCTTTGCGATAGGATTGTACGTCCTGGTTGATGCCTTTACAGCGAGAGAGAAGTACGAGGACCTCCTACATCGCCGCTATCATGCCAGCCACTACAAGGTCTACCTTGTGTTTCTCTTCATTCCACTCCTGATGTGCGCACTAGGCATCTGCGTCCTTGGACACCTCATTATCTTTCATGTGTACCTCTGTTCCACCCACAAGACGACCTACCAGCACATGGTAGATAAACGTGAGAGGAAACGTGAACGCCGGCATTTAAAGGGTCTTCAGGAACAACTGCAGAGTGGAAATGGTAAGAAGGGCTTCTGCTCTTGGCTTTCCATCCGTAAACGTCGCGACTTCAGAAAGTACAAGCGAAGGAAAGTCGTCAACAAAAACGCCTTCCAAGACAACGACAATAACGGTCCCGTCGTGCCGTTGAGTGTAGCTCCCAACTGGCCTTCATCGCAGGCCCCGCAGGAACCCTACCCAAACGATTCCCACTAAGCGCCGCCCATTAATGTTAAAATGTGGTCGTTTCACTCTGGGCGTTTTTTTTTCTTTTTATTAGGAGCGAGAGTGTGGTGGCAGCTGCATGTTTGAAAAGTAGGTGGGCTGAAGACAGCTGTTGGAGATGGGGGCGCATCTCACTGCGTGCACTAGTGGCGCCACTGCACTACATGCCGAGATGATGAGACGGGGATGTTTTTTTGCTGGTGTTCTGACGCCTGCTTCTTCCCACGCCAGCGAGGAAGGCTGGGAGAGGGACACCTGCACGCACCCTCAGTGGTTGGAGGTGCCGGCGTCAGTGCCGCCTCTTTCGGGCGGGAGGAGGCCCCAACGCATGGGGCAGGTCAAGTGTGGGCGAAGACGAGGAAGACGGGGCATAAATCGTTGTAATTGGAGCAGCAGGGGCTGGGTGAAGAAATATTCTTCGTTGCGGCTGCGGGTGGAATGCGTGACCGCGCCTGAGTGCGTGCGTGAGCCCGGCAGGGTCGCAAATGGGTCGTTACGGTGAACTCGGTCTAGAGAAGCAAAATGAAATGCGGGGTGGGTGGAAATAATGAGCACAGGTGGATTGTGCTCTGCCCACGCACACACACACGCTCGCACGCCTGGAAAACTCACTTTTTCTTTTATGCTCCCATTACTGTTGCTCCTGCGGCTTGACGACTGTAATTCGTACTGTTTGTTGCCTAATATATATATATATATATATTCTGCTCCCGTGGCTGCTCATAACTGGGGGAGGGGAAGGGGAGGAAGAGCGAAGGAGGAAGAGGCAATCGAAACCAGTGCACACACACACACACACAACGAAAAGCAAAACAAAAAGAACGGAGGGAGGGGGGGGGGAGAGAGAGAGAGAGAGAGCTGACTCCTTCCTTACTGCCCACCGTTGGGAGGCATAAGCCAAGTTGTTGACACTCACACACGCTCCCACACGGCGAGCGTGAGAAAAGCCAAGGAAGGATCAATAAAGACAGAAGGCATCAACGGTAGTGAAAGTGGACAAATGGGATATGCTCGTATGCGTCTGCTTCCTCCATTGAGGTGGATTCACGTGTGCGGCGGCACTTTGGAGAGCCGTACGGCACTGCTGCATAGCTGCCGGCGGGTTACTACCGCCACCGGCAGCGGCATGGTTCAAGGCAGCAGGAGAAAGGCTGGCGGTAGTGATACGAACAGCAACGACGCTAACAGGGGTCCAAGCAACGGAAGTGATCAACTGATCCCTTGCAATTTGAATGAACGTGGCCCGTTGGATGAACCCGACGCCGTCTTTTCTCCCGTCCCCCGAGCAGAGATCCCAACCGATGCCGCGGCTGCTACAAATGCGGACGCCGCCGCTGCAGGACTTTACTCCTCCTTATCGACTTCCCAACGAGGTGTACCGTCGATTCTGTCTTCCGGGAGCAATGCCATGTCTGACTCTCGGCTGCACGAACTTGCGGCACAAGAAGAGGAGCGGCGTGTGGCGCGGCACAAAAAGCTCTTCGAGGACCTCATTGTATTTGAGGGTGGGGCGCTTGCTGACCACGATTCACTAGGCACCGCACTTATCATGCGGGACTTTATTCACTTTGCTCTCTACCACAAGAAGTGGGGGTATTACCCGAAGCTGCACCGCAAATATCGACAGCTCATGACAAGCGGCTACTTCGATCCAGTGCCATTTAGCAGCCTTCGGAATCAGCACGACTATGAACGCTACGTCGGCAAAATTCACGATTCAACTCCTGCTTGCATCACACCAACGCAGCTGTTTCAGCCTCACTATGGTTGGGTGTTGGCGGAGTATCTCGTGACGATGATGCGGGCAAAATTTGACCCCCGTGAGCCGCTTGTCGTGTACGACATTGGGGCAGGAACAGGGGCACTGGCGGTGAGTGTGCTGGACTACCTTGCGGAACACTTCTCTGCCGTGTACGCGCAGTGTGAGTATCACGTGGTGGAGCAAAATCCTCAACTTGTGCAAGTGCTTCGTAACCGCCTCATCACACATTATCATCATGTCAAGATACATAACATTTCCATTCTTAATTGGCGTCAGTTGGAACAACGTCGCTGCGTTTTGTTGGGGGTTGAACTTCTCTCTGGGATGCCACACGACTGCGTCGTGCTGAGTGGCGATGAGGTTTGTAATGAACACTGGTTTGGTTTTCAGCAGCACGACAATCTTTCCACTGCCCATGAGCGTTACTACGCTCTGAAGGACCCTGTTATCCTCCGCTACCTGCGTTACGTGCGTTGGATGCAGGAGGAGTCATTTCATAGCCTTAAGATGTTATGTCTCACCGGTGGGCGTGAGAACATTGACCCGCCTCCGTTTACTAGCATTGAGCCGAATATGCAGGATCCTCTGCGTGTTATCGTCACGAAGGTTCTCTGGACCCACAGCCCACTTCGCACTCTCTGGCTTCCAACAGCTGCAATGCTCTTCCTCGAGACCTGCGCCGCGTACTTCCCCAGACATCATCTTTTTCTTGTTGACTGGTCAGGCGTACGACAGGCTCTACCAGGTGTTAACGGGCCAGTGTGTCAATGCAAAGTGCGTGTGGCGAAGGACCTTTACCTTCGCCGCCCCGCCGATTCGCTGCATGGCAACGCCGGCATGGTTGACATTTGTTTCCCGACTGACTTCGAGCATCTGGCAGTGGTGTACCGCAACATCTGCGGGGCACACAAAGATGTCTCAAGTCTCACCCACCCGCAGTTTTGGAAGACGTTTGGCGGCGACAAGACAGCCCTCTTCACGACACGCAGCGGCTTCAATCCTCTTCTCGAAGACTTTGAGCCGTTCCACGTCTTTGCCACGCACCACCCCCCAGAGATGTGAGGTCGGATTTTTCTTGTCCTCCCCGTTGTTCTTGTGTTGGCTGGAGGTGTGTGTGTGTGTGTGGGAGGGTTGTCGACACACATGTGTTAGCGCCGCTGCAGTTTTCAAAGGAAACACAAGAAACAGGGCAGAGAGAAGGAGGCGGGCTGCAACCTGCAGGGTGTGGGTTGAAAATGGGGGACACTGCCACCACTCTCATTCCTACTTTGCAGACACGTGTGCCATTCTGTGCGAGGCCTTTTTCTTCTCTTCTCTTCTTACTGTTGCCCCCTTTTGCCACCCACACAACCCGCCAACAGGGCCAAATTAGTTAGTTGACATTAGTGACTGGCTGCCGTCTATTTTTATTGCTTGCGAGTGAGCGTGTGTGTGTCTATCAGTTGCCTCTCCTCTTTTCCTTCCTTTGCTCTACAGGACCTGCCTCTCAGCGTGTGTGTACTTTCTGCCCCTAACAGACGTCCGTTCCACTTTTTTTTCCCTCTCGTTGCTAACGGGTCCTTCCATTTCGCTGCTTTCGCAACTCCATCGGCCCAACCGGACGTACCGCTCGTTTTTTGTTTCTTTCTTTTTCAGTTCCTCGCTTCAAGAGGGAAAAAGAGGAAAACTGGGCCTGCTTCACTCTTTGCGTCTGCGTGCTGTTCCACTCACTGCGGCAGAGGAGGCGGCGTGCACATCACTGTACGGTGTGTATATATATATATAACATTGCACGTGCACAGCACCGCAGCGCAGGGCGCGTCTTATTCTGCGGCTGCCCACACACCCCGTGACTGTGGAGAAGTGGGCGACGGAGAGAAGGGCGGAGAGAAACAAAGGAACAAAAAAAAAAAAGTAAACCAACGAAGAAAAACCCGTTGGGGTTGCCTCTTCCCACATCTTCTGCCATTAGCGGAAGGGAGCGGAGTGAGGCGCTGGTACGCACGCTACACAAACACAAACACAGACACATTCTCTAGTCCTCACACACGTAGAGGAAACAGCGACAGCAACAAAAGAAAGAGAAAGGACAAACCGGAGAGACAAGAGAGCGAGTGCGAAGCAAACCAACAGACAAAGAAAAAAAAAGTCTACATTTGTTGTTGGGCTGCGTTTTTAGTGTTTGGCGTTTTTTTTGTTTTATTTTGCTTCTCGGTTACTGCGCCACTGCCTTCCCTCCACTCCTGACGTACTACTACTACTACTACTACTAAGTACCGGAGTGAGGAGGCGACGACAACCGATTGGGACGGGACCGGAAGGAACGGAGAGGACGATTGAAGTGGCATTCCGCCGAGTATACAGCCATAACGCAAACAACCAGATAAAAGAAAATTTTCCACAAGATCGCAGACACAAAGGGACTGTTTGCGGTGGTGGTGGTGGTGGTTTTTGGTGTTGTCAGTGCTCGGCTAGTTGCGGCCTATTCTTATTGGTGCTTGTATTCAATTGGCGGAGATGCGTGCGCGCGGAAATTCCGCTCTGAGTGCATCCACGCTATCCCCTGAGGAGACGCACAGGGGCATAAAGACATTCCTGAGAAGCATTGATGAACCAGTGCTCTCTGGCAGCCTTGTGGCGTACGAGTTTCTTGACAGCGCCCACGACTTCCACTGGTCGCTGGCAAGGGTGCTGAAGCTGGGCGAGCACCACGCCCTACTCCAGCGGTGGCGGGTGGAGAATGGGAGCTACGCGGACGTCTTGGACGCGCTCCAGAAGGAGAAGGAGAGGAAGATGGAGGAGGTGCGGCACTGCCAGCGCATTTTGTCGGAGCAGCGGGAGGAGTTGGCGATGGTGCGGCGAGACACCGAGGCCCAAGTGGAGCGCACAAAGGAGGAGGTTGAAAACGCGCGCCGCGCTTTGGCGGAGGTGGAGGAGGTGTGGTTACATGAGGCCTTCAACGCCCGTCTTCCCTCCGCAGGACTGTGCCTGGCGCTTGAGGCCAGCATCGCTATTTTAAACAGCGACGGGGAGGAGGAGCAGGCAAAGGGATGGGAGGAGCTGCGCACCGTGGTGCGGGACCCTACCTTCATTCGCCGGCTGCTGGAGTACTGCCCCGCCCTGGCGAAAGGCGCGGACGCGCGGCAGGGCATCGTCAACGACTACCATCCGCGGCTGCTAAAGCTGCGAGAACAGATACTGCGTCCCTCAGTAAACATCCTCCCGGCAACTCCTACTGCCCTGGAATCGCTAATTTGCGACTGGGCACTCGCCCAGCTGAACGCCTTCATCGTCTACCCCGAGATCGAAAAATCGCAAGCGCGCGCCAACGAGATTGGTGAGGCCATAAACAACAACATTCGCCGCATGAAGCTGCTAGACACCCAAATTAAGCACAACGCTGAGCAACAGCACATCTACAACGAAGGCTACGGTGTAGTCAAGGGCAAGAACATCAGCAATGCCACGTGCCTCACTTTCATGGAGGCCAGCGACATTGCACCAATCACCGTCCCGCGATCATCGATAACAGCGGCCGTCAGCGCCAGCAACACCAGCAACGCCGGCGTCGCCGTCGTCACACATGAGGAAGCAAAGCGCCTCCTCGCAAGGGCATCTATGCACCGTCCGTTACTCTACGCGGCATTGGACACTGCACTCGAAAAGGTGCAGCACATGAAAAATAAAGACACAGACAACGCCACGTTGATTCAGCAGCTACGTGACGAAAATGGGGTTGTGCGTAAACAAAACAATGATATGGCAAAATTGCTAAACACAGCGAAGACGGAATTGAACCAAGTTCAACAGGAGCTCGACAAAAAGCAAACTCCTCGCCAAGCAAGCACAAGAGGAGTTCACCAAACAATACACACGCCTCCAGGAACAACGCGACGACGTCTCTCGCAAACTAGAGGAAAGCAAACACCTAGTTAAGGACCTCCAAGCGAACGACAATGAGAAGTACAAAGAAAGCCAACGCCATGCGAAAGAAACAAAACAATTAGAGCAACAGTTAAAACGACTACAGACTGAAAATGCCGCCCTTCAGGAGTCATTCCAAAAAGAACAAAATCAACTAACTGAGATCAAAAAACAGTCGGCAGAACTCCGCCGCCAGCTTTTCGACAGGGAGCGCGAGCTTGAGGAAGTCCGTAATGCAAATGAGGAGGTGAAGACACGATCGTTCAACGAGCTCAACGTTCAGGCGGAGGAGTTGAACCGGCAGCTGGAGGAGCTGCGGGCGGAGAATGAGCAGCTGCGCGCCGGGGACGAGGAGAAGGTTCGCGAGCTCAACGAGCTGAACGACCAGGCGGAGGAGTTGAACCGGCAGCTGGAGGAGCTGCGGGCGGAGAATGAGCAGCTGCGCGCCGGGGACGAGGAGAAGGTTCGCGAGCTCA